AAGCATGGCACATCAAGTTGAGGCAGGACTGAGCTCCTCCCCCTGCATCAAGGCTGGGCAAAAAACCCAACTAAGCACCATAGACAGGTCCTGATCTCACTGCTAGGAACCTAACAAACAGACTAAGCTACACAAATGTCACACTGTCACCCACATGCAGAAGGCCCAGGAAGGTCCCATGCAGGTTCCCTATCTGTTGGTCCAGAGTCCATGACCTCCCAGGAGCTCAGATCAACTGTCTCTGTGGGCTCTCCAGTCATGACCTTGATCCCCTCCACGATGGCTCTTACAATCACTCATCTCTTTCTTCAGCAGGACTCCCAGGAGCTTGACCCAGTGCTTGGCTGTGGGTCTTTGCAAATCTGCTTCCATCAGTTATCAGATAAAGGCTCTCTAATGACAATTAGGGTCGTCACCAGTCTCCAGATTCTCTTATGTCCTCCCTGCTCAGTTTTTTTGTTTTGTTTGCAGGAGAGCCAAGAAATTCAAAATAAGAAGATGTAATTCACAAGCTTTGATGCCCTGGTATTAGTATGAAGCTTTCAAGGAAGAGACCAGGGACTACCACAGCATGATCCTGTTCTGAGGGGATGAAGGCCCAGCACATTAGAACTCAAACCCTGAGGACAGGTTCCATGCTGTGTCAGTTGAACAATCTGAGTCCTACTTCCTGCCTCAGTAAGATTTGGGGGAAATGTCAGAGAGCTGCTTGCTCTTACTCAGGGTCAGCTGCATTTAGGGAGAGATGGGGAATCCAGATCAAGAGAAAGGAAGTCCCAGAAAAAGCATGTGCTGTGTGATGGTAGAGCTGCCAAATACAGAAATATATTTTAGCACTCAGAAAACATTGATCACATCTTAAGGCTGCTCTTGGGCCCTTCTGAGCAGCCTGCAAGGCCTTCACAATGGACATTTTTCATGCAAAAGCAGTTGTTGAATGAACTTGTCTCCTGTTTCCAACTCTGTTTAATACACAGAGGGAATGTCCATGACTCTTGCAGATGCCTGAGCTCCAATTTCACACAGTCAAGGAACTGATCACACACTTCATCTTGGTCTAGTCTTGATGGGTCAGGGGTTAGAGGTCACTTTGTGCCACAGTCTTCAGATGACAAAAGAAAGCATTGATGGTAGTGGTGGTGTCAGGTGAGCCCAACCAAGTTATCCTTCAAAAACAGTAAATATTCAAATAAAACTTGTTTAATTTAGAGAATGTTAACTTCTGTGGGCCATGCAAGTGCCCTGTGTGCTGAAGACACTAAGCAGATGATAGTATATTAATTTTATTTGATGGCAATCGTCCTGGTTGGTTTTTGTCAACATTACACGAACCTAGAATATCCGGTAAGAGGCAGTCTTAACTGAGAAAATGCTTCCCTAAGACTGGCCTGTAGGCATGTCTATAGATTAGTGACTGATATGGGAAGGCCCAGACCACTGTGGCAGGTGGCCCTGGGTTGTAGGAGAAAACAGGCTGAGCAAGCCATAGAGAGCAAGCCAGTGACTAAGTGGTGGCCTCTGCGTCTTCTGCTTCAGTCTCTACCTCCCAGTTCTTGCCTGGAGTCCCTGACTTTCTTCCTTGATGAGCAGCAATGTGGAAGTCTAAGCCAAACAAACCCTTTCCTCCTCAAGTTGCTTTTGGTCACGGTGTTTCAGCACAGCACTAGAAACCTCAACTAAGACAGCATTCAGTCTCGTAAGGTGAACACGACATTTAACTGCTGTGACGTCGTAGCATTTTAATTACATAAGTAAAGAGATATTTGGAATTCGGGAATGGATTTAATAGCTACCCTTTGGAAGTTAAATTTCTCACAATAAGAAACAAGAATTCATATTGTAAAACCTTTTCTTTTTTACATATATGTTTATGCCTTTACTTGTTTAACTTTCACTCTTCTCTCATACATTACGTCATAACAAGCTCCACTCCTCCCAGTCCTCCACTTCCATCTCCCCCAGATCAACTCCGCCTCTGTTTCCCTTTTTAAGGAAGGAAGGGAGGGAGGAATAGGGCTCCCAGGGGTATCCACTGAACACAGCCTAACAAGATACAATTAAGACTGAGCACAGACCCTCAAATCAAGCATGAACAAAGCAACCCAGTAGTAGGAAAAGAATCTCAAACACAGGCAAAAGAGCCAGAGACACACCCTCACTCCCACTGTTGTGAGTCCCACAAGAACATCGAGTGACACAACCATAGATATATGCAGAGGACCTAGCTCAGACCTATAGAAGGTCTGTGTGTCACTCCCGCGTCCACGAGTCCCTGTGAGCCCCGCTTAGCTGACTGCACAGCCTGTGTTCTTCTGGTGTTCTCAACCCCTCTGGCTCCTACAACCCTTCCTTCCCCTCATCTGCTGTGTTGGAAAGCTTTTTCTACAAACTGTCATCAGATCTGAGTGTGATGGTGAATGCCTGAGAATCCAACAACTGAGAAGTGGAGGCAGGAGGATCAGGAGGGACTCTAGGTCGTCCTCAGCTACATAATGAAATCAGGCCAACTTATTCCTCACAAGACCATGTCTCAAGATATATATGCATGAATAAACTACCATTAGTATTACCATCAGATTGAATTTAGTAGCTGTATGCAAGCATAGAAAACCAAGATAGTTTTAAATTGTTCATTAAAAGGATATTCTGTCACTAGCTCATGTCATCAGAATGTAACCATAATAATCCCACTTTATGGCAGCTACCAGGAGGGATATTTACACAGGTAAGCCCATTAACTAACAACTATCCTTACACTTAGAGGTATTCCTAAAAAAAAAAACTCTGTAGTTGAGAAATCTGAGCTCTGGAATATTACATTCTGTTCACAGGCAAGCACGTGGAAGTGGCAGTATTCTCTAATAATAATCAAACAACAGTTAACTCACTCCAAAGCATCTTGGCAACAATTATTGGAATCTGACACTTCCTCAAGACAATGCACCGACATCTGCTAGAAAATTGCCATTGTAAATATAGAAAGCAATAATGGCTACAAATGCAGATAGCACTGCCTGCCAGAACTGTGCTGTGCATGCCCAGGGCAACTGTACATGCAGAGTAGCAGTCATCAACACCCCGCCCTTCCCAAGCTCTCCTTCTACCCCGTCTTGTTTGCTAGGTAAGTGATTAAACTCTAAAGCTTACTTCCCATCTGTTCTGTTGATACCCCAGTGACAAAATATTCTGAAAGGAGAGTTAAACAATTGTTGTTGGTAATTTTTTGTTGTTGTTGTTTTTTTTTTACTTTTTACTCTTTTGCCTTTCCTCTTTGGAAGGGCCCTCCACCCAGCTCCCGAATAAACACCTAGAAATTTATTATTACTTATAAATGCCCAACCTTAGCTTTGCCTATTACTAGCCAGTCTTTCTTAAACTTAAATTATCACATCTACTGTGTGCCTCTGGGCTTTTTCCTTTTCTTACTTTTGCAATCTTACTTTCACTCTTACTCCGTGGCTGGGTGGCTGGTGGCTGGGTGGCTGGGTGGCTGGGTGGCTGGGTGGCTGGCCCCTGGTTTCCTCTTTCCTTCTTTTCTTGCTCCTTGATCCTCTCTCCCAGATTTTTCCTTCTATTTATTCTCTCTGCCTGCCAGTCCCTTATAGGAGGAAGCCTGTATGCCGCCATTAACCATGTAACTTACTAGAGGCACATACAGATGAGGTAACAAAAGAGCGGTTTATCACACTGCTAACCACACCCACTTTAGGCATGACTAAAGACGTATACAGACAGACATAAAGACGTATACGTACGTAGGCAGTGAACTACGTCACTAGCCAGGCCCACTTTTGGGCATGGCTAGGGCGCGTTACAGGGGAAGGCATAAAAGACTGCACAAAGGAAGTCTTGGTCTCTTTTCCCAGATTTCGGCTTCCGGTTTGGCAGTGGAAAACTACTGGGCTCATCTGTGTTACTTGTTTGGTATCTTGTGAGTAATTTCTACAATAAATACTTAGTTTTACTTTCAGGAAGTGTGCCGTTTATCGTTACAGCGTCTTTGGAGCATCATTTCCCTCCTGTCCTTTTTCCTGCCTTACTATTGGCTGTTCAGCTCTTTACTAGACCATTCAGGTGTTTTAGACAGGCAAAGTAGCACAGCTTCACAGAGCTAAACAAATGCAACATAAAAGAATGCAACACATCTTTGCATCATTAAAACTAATGTCCCACAGCATAAACAAATGTAACACTTCTTAAAATAATATTTTACAACAATGATTCCACAACCTCCTATGTAAAATTCAATCAGTGAAGCAGCCTGTGGCACTCAACATCACATAATTTATCATCGCTGCTCCTCTGTTAACACCTTTGTTTACACAAAGAAATTCTTATTCCTGTTGCTGAGAAGCAGACTTTGCTGCCATCAGCAAAGCTTCCTTTGCACTGCTTCCTAGCTTGAAGCCGTGAAATGATGCATCAGTGAGAAGATGTGTGCAGAAGACTTGGCCCTGAAGGTTACTCATCAACCCTGTGCCTTGGCCATGCTCACTGTCACCCATGAACCTTAGCCGTGCTCACTGTCATTTGTGTTTTACTTCTGTAACTGCTAGACTAACCTTTTCCCAGAAAAAATGGCTATACTACCTTATCCTCTATAATGCCAGTAACAGAACAGAATCTCCATGGAGCCATGCTTAAAAGGGAACATGAACAAACCTCTATTCAGCCCAGATCCGCACCCACAACATACCAAAGGAATGAACCCATCCAAGTCCACCTTGGTAAACCAATCAGATGATTGGGGTTGCTAATAAAAGCTTGGGTAAGGGTTTACTTCATGCAACATGGACCACACAAAAGCAGCTGTATCATGGAAAAGCCCCCTCCAATATGGGTGATATCTCATTAAAGCTGGGTCCTTGGAGTTCGCTGCATAACTTACAGGCAACTTGGCTGGGAAGAAGATCTCCTACTGCTTTTTTAACCTGGGGATTGGGCAGGCACGTGAACTTGTAATTACGTTTCCCTGAGACTTGTAAGTTTGGTTTACTCACCCAGGTTTGTCCGTAACATCATCTTCTTGAGTCTTCTTCAACACTTGCATCTGTAGAAAGATTATTATCCAAATGAGTGGACAATAAGATACTTTGGGGAAGGAGAAGAACTCTTGTCTTTACAGTATAAGTTCTAGAAAGTAAAAAATTATAAGAATATGATTGCCAAGGGCTGAGGTTGAGGGATCCCTGATGAAGGAGAGAAACATGGCCTGTCCCCCAAGGAGCTGAGAAACACTGAGCAGACAACAAACCCTGAATTCACAGGCCTCCAGTCCACTGTGTAGCATCCTATATGACTATATCTTTTTACTCAAGACAGAAGTAGAGGACTGGAAACAGGTCACTATGAGACCTTCACTTTGAACTAAATGGAGTCTAAGGTTTGGGTTTTGGGGTAACAGCAAATGTGTGCAGGAAAAGCCAGAGACCAACAACAGTGGCCTGGCAATATATCTTCCATTGATTTTTTCTCATCATCTATATTCATATATCATTCATAATAATGATATGACTATCAATTTTAAGTACTGCCACTATGTTAGCAAGGAGCACAACAACTGATATTAAACTCTGTTTACTATATGCATAACTACTACTTCTACTCCACTGAACTTTTTATTTGACTTATTTTATGTTTCATTTCATCATTATTTCAGTTTTCTTCAGATCTTCATTACTTTATTATTTTTCTAGATTTTTGTTACTTTTTTCATATCTTGGATTGATTTGCTTATTTCATTCAGTTGTCTGTGTTCTCAGAGAATATTGAAGTCTTCTTTGAGTTCTTTTACCATATTTATAACCATTCTTTTGAATTCTGCATCTGGAATTTCATCTAGGTCATTAATATGGTATTGGCAGTATGAAGAGGAGGACAATTGCCTTGTTGTTCAGAGGTGCCCAGAGACCCTAAAAACAATTGCAGGCTACTGTCTATGCCCTTGATTGCACACCAGAACTTAATGGTAAGACCCTACTGCTGCTGCTGATGTCATATACATTTGTCATAGGGCAGAGAGAAATCTAGATGGTACTCAACAGAAAGCTTCCTCCTGCTTGATAGCTTTCCTAGTACTGGAAGATGCTATTCAGGCTGGTAGTAGGAAAGTTACCACCAGTCTTACCCAACTGTGAATCCTGAGAACTACATTTCAAATATGCTCATAGATGCAACAATGGCATCTATGAGACTACCCAACCACTTGTTAATTTTATTGGAGGCATCCTCCACAAGAGGAAAAGCATGCCTATTTTATAAATATGTACAGGAACCTGTGGCCGGGGAACCACACTGGACCCAAGAATGAACCTCCTACTATTAGGTTGCTAAATGGACATAATATCAAACTAACTTCTAAATTTGTATCTCTCTACTAATAGATCAGTGCACCATTCAAACCTTTTCAGAGAAATTTCTTTGTGGAGTGGACAGTGTTTTACACAGAAACTGACAACTCATCAAGTGCAGAGAATGAAAGACTATGAAATGCCCAGCATGAATGGAACATCTACATCACATCTCCTCTCCAAGGCTCAGCAACCACTGGGGAAGAGAGGCCAGATAGATTATAAGAGTTAGAGAGTAAGGATGATAGACCGAAACAGCATCTTCTGATACAATAAGACTCCTACACTTGTGAATTCACCACTATGCAAGACCTGCACAAGATCAAGCCAGCATGGACTGGGAAGGCATTCACAGGCCTCTGGCCCTAGCTGAGAAGCTGTATACAGTTAATGGCTTCTGGGAGAAGGAGAATATATTTTCAAAAGGATGTGTCGTCCTAGGAAGTTGGTCATACTCCAATGAATGGTCCCACACCTGGGAACATGTGGACAATACAAATTGGAATTGATGGGTTCTTATTCTAAGGACATGAAGTTTATCAGGGGAAGGTGAATCTTGGATCTTTGATGAGTTAGAAGGAGAATTATTAATATTGAAAATATCACCTATTTTATTTTTGCAATCAAAAGCTTTGAAATCCTGTTTTTACAGAAGTCCTGGGAACATAAGTGTTTTTGTAAGTGTGACAGCCATTTCTGAACTCAGAGTTATAGTGGTATGCTCAAGTAGTCCAAACGAATGACAATATGAGTAGCATCTCCCTTTGTTGTTTATTTGTTTGTTTTATTGACAGCCCTGGGAACTTTCCTGTCTTGCCATAGGATTTCTCACAGAGGGATCAGAATCATCTATATGCCGTAACAGCCTCAGCAAGACTGGGGTTCTGTTTAGGACAGGTGAGTTTTACAACCTTGGGAACATCCTGACCTAGGAATGAGAAACACATGCTTTGTAAGGGAGAGCAAAAGCAATGAAGATAGGGAGACATAGGAAAAACCTCATACCTAGTAAGAGAAGAAACCACAAGATTTTTCACTGGTTATAGCAGTGAGACACTAGGAATTTGGGGTTCAGAATGTTGCCGACCTAAGTTTTCAGTGCTGTGTCTCCTTGAATAGACACTGCAGGCTACAGCGTTCAGGAGTTCAGACGGTCAACTGGGAGTGCCAATTGCCCAGACCTTGTGGTACATACAGCTCACAGTTTGGAAATGGGTGTCTCTAGGACCATCAAATTGTCATCATGTAATTTCAGGATAGATCTCTTCAATAATGAGCTCAACAATAACTTGTGTGGTTCTGATTCTATGAAAACAACTTGGTGCTTGTGTGGTTCTGTTTCTATGAAAACAACTTGGTGCTAAGCATGCTTTTTAAATAATATTTATTCTAATATTTTCTTAGTCAGAGATGGTCACACTTTGGAAAAAGTGAGCTCTTATATCTCCAGCTTTCAGAATTTACTAGATATTTCAAAAGTCATAAAAGTCCAATAGATTCTAATATTAGTGAAATGAATTCTTCTAGCCCTAATATCTTTTCTGGCAAGAAGACCAGATGAGAAGATAGAACTCACTAATCGAGAACATGTTTTTGGCCCATTTCACACAAAAAGCACTGTTCTAAAAAAGTTCATTCTCCTAGGATGAAAAAAAACCTTTGGGTCGGTACTTTGGATTTTTTTTAGTGGTTTCCTTTGCTTGTTTTTTTTTTACAAATAAAATTACATACTTGTCTGAAGAGTCTTCAGACTTTTGTTATTCACATTTGAATCTTCAGAGACTACTTACTGTCCTTGAGGGAAGTTTTCATGAATTTAAGTAGAAATGCAGTGGCATTCAAGAATGTAAGCATTAGCACTCACTCTGTGTGTGATGCTGTGACACTGGACAAAAAAAGATGCTCCTTCAAGAGCCATGGTCTGTGGAGTTGGGAAACATATTCAAGGACTGTTATAAGTCACAGAAGGAAACAAGGAATCATCTAGGAGTGTCCAAATGCTTTCTAAGGCGCAGGATAACACTATTGGTTTTATGAAAGTCAATGTCAAAAAAAAATTTTAAAGGGTATTGATACAAGTGGTAGGGAAATAACACAGAATGAAATTAACCAGAAGATAGATAGATGATAGACAGATAGATAATGATGACAGATGGGTAGATAGACGAATAGACGATAGATACAAGATAGATAGATAGATAGATAGATAGATAGATAGATAGATAGATAGATAGATAGATGATATAGATATAGACTTGGAAAGATATAGATACATATAAATGTATGAAATAACAGACATGAGTCAACATGATGGTTCAGGAGGTGAAAGTGCTTGCCACTCAAAAATGTTCAATCCCTGAAAGTTACGTAAAGGTGGAAAGAGAGAGGCCTTGGGTACATGGCTCTGGGGTAAAGAGTACAATGTGCTATTGCAGAGGATACCCCAGTGAGTTCAGTTCCCAGCATCCACATTGGAGGCTTCAGAACTGCCTGTTGCTACAGCTTCCAGGGGTCTGATGCCCTCTTCTGGCCTCTGCTGTCACTGTACCCATGTACACAAAACCCACACACAGACATATATGCCAACACTAATTAAAAGCTAGAAATATAAAACCTACGGGTTACCGGGAATAGAGTGGATCTGGGGTGGGGCACGTGTCCCAGATGGAAAGCTATGACCTAGGAGGAAGAGCTGAGGAGGATTGTGTAGGCAGAAATGCAAGCATCATGAACATCATGGAAACACATTTAAAGGCATGGTTTCTGTTGCTGGCTCCTAAAGTTTTTGTTTGGTTTTCTTTAGCATAACTCCTAGAACAGGCCAAACAACAAGATATAGTCAGTTTGGGGATTGATTTTGGAGGAAAAATTGGTTAACATTTGACAATAGATTGAAGGCTGTTTCTGAGAAAATGAGGACAAATAACTATAACTCTAAACTTTAAATGCTTAAGGACTGAATGGGCTGGGAAAGGTTCCATTTAGTGACAGTGTTTTTTGTTTTGTTTTGTTTCTCTTTTTATTTAAATTAGAAACAATCTTGTTTTACATGTCAATCCCAGTTCCCTCTCCCTCTCCTCCTCCCCTGCCCCCCCAACTACCCCTCTATTCCATCCCCTTTTTGCTCCCCAGGGAGGGTGAGGCCTTCCATGGGGGAATCTTCAAAGTCTGTCATATCATTTGGAGCAGGACCTAGGCCTACCCCGTGTGTCTAGACGTATCTCTGTATGTGGAATTGGTTCCCAAAGCCCATTCAAATACTTAGGATAAATACTGATCCACTACCAGAGGCCCTATAGATTTTCCAAGCTTTCTAACTGACACCCACATTCAGGGGTTCTGAGTCAGTCCTATGTTGGGGTCCATGAGCTCCCCCTAGTTCAGGTCAGCTGTTTCTGTGGGTTTCTCCAGCCTGGTCTTGACCTCTTTGCTCATCACTCCTCCCTCTCTGCAATTGGATTCCAGGAGTTCAGCTCAGTGCTTAGATGTGAGTCTCTGCCTCTGCTTCCATCACCTACTGGATAAAGGCTCTAGAATGGCATTTAAGGTAGTCCTCAATATCATTATAGGGGAAGGTCTTTTAAAGTAGCCTCTCCACTATTGCTTAGATTCTTAGTTGGGGTCATCCTTGTAGATCTCTGGACATTTCCCTAGTGCCAGATTTCTCTTTAAACCTATAATGGTTCCTTCTACTAGGATA